TTCGCCTCATGTCCGCTCCCAGTTTCTGAAACAGTGTGGATGGCTGCAGCTCACATCGCTGATCTGCAAAGGTCTCAGTCACCAAGCCAGCCGGGAAGGCCTGGGTGGTGACAGACCTGGGCAGCGCACTGAACATCACGGGAAGCGCCGCATCGTGAGGGCCTGGCGCAAACCGCTAGGTCCGCTGGCTTCGTCACGGTGCCCGCGATTTTATGGAGGACGAAACTGAGACGCAGGCTGACTGTTTCATCTGGAGTCACGTGGCCTGGGGTTCAAACGAAGGACTCCCCAGCCCGTGCTCCTGCGGCAGTCCACGGGCTCACGCTCTGAGGCGGGGGTTTAAGGCATGCAGTGGGGGTGCTGGTGGGTCCCAGGCACAGGCCCAGGAATGCTGGAACCCACTTCGGCACAGCGGGCCCTCCGTGGGAGGCGAATGAGGAATAAGGAAGTTTGTGTCATCAGCTAGACCGGCCCCCGAAACTCTAACGGGGGGTTCTGGCAAGTCAGGCTGGCACACGACTCAGAACCGAGCCTAAGGAGGTCCAGTCCCCACCCCCGCGGCTGCTCCCACATGGCAGCATCTCACGCTCGCTACACAGCCACCTGGGGCGGGAGACCGAAGACCCCGAGCACACGGGGAAAGAGAAAAGAAAGGAGACACACCCTTCGCCTCTTCGCTCGCAAAAGCAGAGAGCTGGGACCTGCGGCTCTGGGAGAGAAGCAGAGGCTAACACACCACGTGGTCCCGCTCGCTAACGAACACAGCATCCCTGAATCCACCGCCATCAGATCGTTAACGAAAGAGTGCCAAAACGAGCACTGAAAACTAGAACGCATCACCTAAAGAAATCCAGAAGCTCTCGATAAATGAAAAGACATCCTGCGTTCGTGGATTCGAAGGCGTAACATTAAGATGGCAATACTCCCCAGATTCATGTACAGAGACAGCACGATCTCTATTGAAACCCCAGCTGCCTTTCACAGAAACTGACAAGCGGATTCTAAAATTAAAATGGAAATTCAAGGGACCCAGAATAACCAAAACCATCTTGGAAAAAACAAAAACCAGAAAACAAAAACAAAGTTGGAAGACTGACACTTCCGATTTCAAAACTTACTAAAAGCTTCAGTGATAAAGATAGTGTGGTATTGGCACATAGATCAATGGAATAGAATTGAGAGTCCAGAAATAAACCCTCACATTATGGTCAATTAGTTTTTAACAAGGGTGCCAAGGCAATTCAATGGCGGAAAAGAGTCTTTTCGACACATGGTCCCCATGGTATGGAGGCATCCGGGAAGGCTTCCTGGAGGAGGGACCTATGAAGGAGGAATGAGAGCGGGTGACGTGCTGGGCAGCGGGAACGGGCTCGCTTGGTCTGCACAGCCTGTTATTAAGCCCTGGTGGCCCGGAGGGCGAGGAGGGCAGGGTTTCAACTCTAGACTGGGGTGGCTAACTTGACTTCCCAAAGCTACAAAATGTCAGGGCTGGGATGTGACCTGCTTCCCCTCCCCGATCCTAAGGGGGCCTCCCCTCCCCACCAGGCCGCAGGCGCCCAGATAGGACTGTACTAAATGCACATTTACGTTTCTGTCTTCCCACTTTGGGGACGGCAAGCCAGTCTCTGACTTCCCCTTAACGTATTAACTTAATTAGCTTATGCTAAGGTGACAGTGTTCTGTCATGTGTTCTTGAACTTAACTCAGCAAATTAACATTTGTGAACAGGATTTGGTTATGAATTTTAATGACTTGCATTCATTCATAGTCCAAGCAAATTACCTACTTGGCGCTTTATTTAATATGTTTATCGCCGTTTTATTACAGTCATTCGCAATGAAGCGGCATAAAATATTAATTCAAAGAGGCAACCTCATGGGTTCTCTCAAAGTGGCATGCGCAGAAGTTTTTGAAGGTTGTCCAATGGACCTCATCATTCCCTAAAGATGTAATAAACTGATTTTCACAGCGACGGCCGGTCCCGGAAGAGGAACGGGCCACAGCCTTTATAAAGGGCATTTCTAATATCCGCCTTCGATCGGCTAGCTGACAGCCCCGGAGTTCAAATGCTGCGTCAGGACATCCTGAAAGGCAACTGTCAAAACAGAGGCCACCGAGGCCCCTGGTGAACCTCACAAACACTAACACCGCCTCCCCCCACCCCGAAGTGCACTCAGGTAGATGGTGTCAGAAATCTGTGAGTTGGGTGAGTTTCTGGCTTTTCATTTTCAAGGTTTCACTAGACAATCTAGACACCAGCTCTTTCACAGCCTTTAAGAAAGGAAAAGGAAGTGCTGTGTGGTGAACTTTTGTTCCAGATACATTTAGGGGAACACCCTATTTCATTTTCAAGGTCACTAGACCGGAGTGGTTCTGAACAAGACAGACGGCCGGCTCAAAAGGCACTGTTTGCGGTGTCAGGCTAAGGGGCTGATGACGGAAAGGCCAGTGGCCAAGGACCCTGGCTATCAAGGTACACCCAGAGCAGCAGAACCTCAGGACGGGCCAGAAGCTCAGAGGCTGATGACAGAAGCCTCAGAATCAGGTAGAAGGGTCGCAGATGGCTTGAAAATCCCGAGTCTGCTGGCTGGGCCTCCCAGGACCCCTGCTCCGACCGCCGAGTTCTCACGAGCGCCCCCAGCGGGGCCCGTGGTCACTGCGGCAGACCCCCCAGCCTGCCTTCCTGGGGTCACACCCATGCACCCACCTGAGCGGGCCTCACCAGCTCTTTCACAGCCTCTAAGAAAGGAAAAGGAAGTGCTGTGTGGTGAACTTTTGTTCCAGATACATTTAGGGGAACACCCTATTTGAACATTTACCATATTCGCTAAGTGCTTGCAAAATGCCTCTTCAAGAGAACAGGGTGTCTGGCTGCGGCGGGGGAGGGGCGAACGGTCGGGGGCTGGGCTCTTGCGGGAAGACGGCGACGGGTGCCTCCGCGGCTCTAGCCCCATGTCAGGGGCTCCACAGCAGCACGTGGACAGTGCAGACCGGGTCTTGCATCTCAGAACGTTCTGAGAAACAACAGCCCATCCGCGGCTGCAGAGACCTCCGCCCCACCCCCCCTGCAGGCCAGGCCCCGCCCTCCTCACTCTCATCCCATGCCTGGAGGCACACTTGCCTGGCCCTGGGGACAAGGTTTTGGCACAGCCCCCTCCCCCACACACCACACAACTACCCACTTCTCACTGCTCCATGTTCGTTTCCTGGGCCCACAGGAACTAATCACCACTAACAGGGTGATTCACAACAACACAAGTTCATTACCTCACGCTTCTGCAGGGCTCAGAGGTGTGAGATGGGTCAGCGGGGCTGTGTTCTTCCTGGGGGTCTTGGGGAGAATCTGCTCCCTGAGTTTGCCAGCTTCTAAGGTGGCTGCATTCCTTGGCTCATGGCATCGCAATAGCCCGACCTCTGCTTCCTGCTTCCGTCCTCACGTCTCCCGTGACTCTAGCCCTCCTGCCTCCCTCCTATAACGACCTTGAGATGACACTGGGCCACCTGGATGATCCAGAGTAACTCCCCATCCCAAGATCCTTAACCTCATCACACCTGCCAAGCCCCTTCTGCATGTAAGGAGACATATTCACAGGTTCCGGAAACAGGATGTGGACGTCCTTGGGGTTCATTATTCTGCCCACCACACTCTCCTTCACTCGAGGCCGAGAAGAAAGACAGGGGTCCCCAGGGCCGTGCCTGTCTCTGCTGCAGCCCCACAGCACATCGGAGAGGACAACGAAGAGCCCCTGCACCCACATGCCTCAGGAAGGACAGGGGACAGGTACGGGGTGGCAGGTAAGTGTCCCCCAACCCTGTGGCCCAGATGCCTCTCATTTTTCAACCCTTCACGGTGTTTCATCCAGCATAGAACTCAGTATCAGATTTTTACGTAAGAAAATCGCATGCAAGTTCCCGACAAGAAATGACTAATTTAGGTGGAACAGAGCAAACTGCTCTCGGGGTCCACCACCACCCTTCCGGCTCTGGTGTCCTGCACGTCGCACAGATCGGACCCAATCGCCCCACATGGCTGTGGGATGAAGCCTCATCCTTGTCCTCCGTCACTCCAGGTGCCTCGGTGCCTGGCCTACTGCCAGAAGCAGAGCAAGACAGGGGCTCACGGCCGAGTGGGGGGAACCAGCCGGAGTGACTCCCCGGGGCAGCTTGCTCGGACTGGGGCTGCGATGGAGGGGGCCTGTGTGCAGTCTGCGGCCTCAGTGAAGGCTTCCTGGAGGAGGTGCCACTGAGATGCGTCTTAAAAGAGAAGTTGGCCTGGATGGGTGGTCCAGAATCCTTTACGAGGAATTGTTAAAGGTTAAAGATCATATCATCCAACTCATTCGTTTCAGAAATAAGGAAGCAAGCTGAGAGAGGGAGGGAGTTCAAGGTCATGCGGCTAAGAGCAGTCAGGAAGGACGCGTATGCCGCAGCGACGACGGTCCCTAAATCACAGCAGCTGAGCCCGACAGAAGTGACTTCTCACTGGTGCCCTGTGTCTGGCGTGGATGTCGGCGGGAGGTGCACTGCGGTCACACAGGGGTGCAGGCTGGCAAGGCGCCATCCCAGCCCGGCCCCCGTCACCGTGAGAGGCAAACTGCACGCCGGCTCCTACGCTCCCCGCCGACGTGACCGTGCCAGGCCCGCTCCTGTCCCGCGGGCCCGAGCAAGGCCCGGGGCCACGCGTCACTTCCAAGGTGGTGGGGAGCATCCGGGCCTGGCCTGGGGGTCAGGGGCCAGAACCGCCTGTGAGCGGCAGTGGTGAAAGCTAGGGTCAGAACCCCAGGTCCCTAGCCGTCTGCCCACGGCTGGGTCCCCTGCCCGCGGACGCACAGACACGCACAGCGGCGGGAGCTCGGCCTCGATGACAAGCTCGTGCTTCCGTTCTCCCACAGGGTCAGGCTCGGCTACTGGAGGTGAAAGTCTGGGGGAAACGTCCCCGCACACAGAAGCGTTCCCCGGTCCCCCGGAAGAAACCAGAGCCTCGTCCTGGGCTCACTTACTATTGCAGACTGACGCCAAACTGCTGGGTGGGCAGAGGGGGCCGCGGTGGTGGCGTCTTGGCGGGGGGGAGCGGCCTGCCCCTTTGCAGGTCCTGCAGCTTCTCGTCATACCTGTGGGCACAGTGGAAGCCCAGCTCTCACCTGGCAGGGGAGCAGCCTCGGCCACGAGGGGCCGTCTCCGGGAGCTATCTGCGGCCCAAACGCCCCACGAATGTCTGCAGGATGCCCTGCCCTGGTGTCTCATCCTTCGGGGCCCACGAGGCACACCACCCTCTGTCTGTCTCTTACACACACACACACACACACACAGACACACACACACACAGTCCCCCATTGCTATGGGTGCTCACACAAAAGGCAGGAAGGATGGCCTAAGCCCTGTCAAATGTCCAGTCTCTCCTGCCAATCCCTGGCCAACATGTCACCCCTGTGCATCTGCACAGGGACTTCCCTCTGCTGAAAACAGCCTTCCCTGGCTTGATACAGCCAACTGTCCCCTTGAAACTCACTTCAGGAGTCACCTCCTCCTGGAAGCCTTCCAAGATATCCTCTCCCCACTTGTCCCCTCCCCGGCTGGGTTCAGCGGCCCCCGCAGCCCCTGTCGTCACTGCCTGGTGGTCCCCACTCCCTGGGAGGGTCCTGAGGGCAGGGCACGCAGCTCCATCTCCCTAGCACCGCAGTACCCTGGTGCCCAGAGGGAGCTGGACATCTCCATTTCCTTGTAAGCCTGCATCCTCACCTGCAGGCAGCCTGGTGAGTGCCCTGCTCCCTCAGAGGGGCTTCCCACAGAGGGCGATGCAACGGGCAGAGGGTACCCAGGCAGGGTCAGAGGCTGGCTGGACTGGGCCCTGCCCTGCGCTGGCTGTAAGGCCTGGGCCGCCACACAGCTTCTTGGGCTCCTTCTGCCCCCCGCCCTCCATGAGAGACCATGGGAGGGGGGCACCAGTGCCCGCGACCCCCCTCGGCCTTGCTTCTCTGAGTCAGGCGCCCGCATCTTTCCTGCGCATCCTTGTGGATGCCGCCGGTTTTCGAGCGGGATCCGGCCGGCCCACTGGCAAGTACGGCTTCGACATGCACGGGACGGGACCGAGACCGGCGAACACACAGGCGTGGTCTGCGCTGCTCGGAGCGGGGTCCGACTCACCGCAGAACTTCCGGGGGGATGACCAGCTGGTCGCATTGGAGGTGTTCACGGAGCTCACTCAGATGGTTGAAATAGGTGACTTTTTTCCCAAACTTGTGACTGAACAAGAAAAAGCAAGAGAGTAAAAACGATTAGGCGGCAGTAGAGAGGCCAGGCACTGGGGCGGGGCATCAGGAGACCGGAGGATGCTGGCATTTTCCACAGTGAGAACCAGCTGCCGACAGGACTTAGAACCAGATGTAACAGGCGCCTCGCACGTGGGCAGACGTCCTGCTTTCATAAGGTCTCGTCCTGCTTTCATAAGGTCTCGGACGCAGCAAACACCCTGGAGAGTCTCATCTGCATAAAAATAAATACCTGCCTCCAGTTTCGATCTGATGTGAATTCGCATAGACACAGGCGATGGCCTGGGGGCCGGCGGGCCGAGGGGGCGGAGAGGGCGGCCCAGAGCAGACGCAGCTTCCCACACGGATCCCCTCTCTCTGGGAGGGTCCCCTGAGGGCAGGGACCACGTCCGAGTCCTCTGGGGTTGCTCTCCAGGGCAGTGTCACTCGGTAGGGGACCACAGTGGGGTGAGCGCGGCTGCAAGGCCAGACTTAGCCCTGGCCGAATCGACTCACCCACCTTGTGGGGCCTCACTGTCCCTCTGAAAACGGGGCGTCTCCCTCCTAAGTGAGACTATGTACGTGACCGGTCCACTGTCCGACGCCTGGCAGACGTCACTACCCATGTCCACCGCTATCAACGAGCCTCGGTTCCTCGTGCTGCGAGGTGGGGACACAATGGTGAGAAGCGCTCGGCCAACGCCCGGCCCGCAGTGGTCACCACCTACTCGTTTCCACGGCTTCACTGAAGTTAACCAATTTACGCAAAGCGGCACGTGGTTCACGTCCACGACTGGACTCGTGTGTACAGCACGACGGCACCTCCGCACCCAGGTGACAGCGTTCCGTCACCTCCTCATGTCCCCTCTGCTTCCGTGTGCGGAGGACGGTTAGCACGGGACGTGCCCTCTTAGACGACTTCCTGGCCTGTGACACCACATGGCTACCGCAGGCTTTATCCGTCCACGTTTTTAGAACCTCCTCATCCTGCGAAACCCAAACTGAGCTGGTCCATCCCGAGCCCGCTAGAGCCCAGAGCCGCCCGAGGCCCAGCCACGCGCACGGGCTCCCCCTAGTGGATGAGGGGGACTCAGACAGGGTGCCAGACCCCCAGCCACCAGCCCTGAGGGACCGAGGGGGGCCTTGCCACGGAAGACGGGACAGGCGTCGGCTTCGGAGCTGCGGGGAAGCCCCTCATGCCGACGCGAGGGTCCCCTTCGTTCTTCTCCCTGTGTTTCCGGTGCCCGTCTCCGGCCGACCAGCAGGGCTGGGCACCAGTGTCCGCAGATGCAAGCAGGACCCTGCTTCCTGCCTTACACCCCCGAAAGAACCTTGGGGCAGCTCGCCCAGGGACCCCAAGGCAGGTCTGTGGTGTGTGCCAGGTCCTAGCCCCAGAGGGCCTGAGTCGGGGGGTGGGGCAGGCCCCCGGGGCCATCCCCCATCATATGCACCCCCTCCATCTTCAGATGGACTCCAGGGCCCCTGACCCCAATTCCTGTGGGCCTCTCCTGGCTCCTGCTCATGTCTGTGCCTGAGGCAGGGTAAGGGGCAGCACCACACGGGCTGGAGGTGGAATCCCAGCCGAGCCCTTAGTGCCGTGTGACCTCGGGCAAGCTCCATAACCTCTCTGAGCGCCAACCTCCTCTGCTCCGGAATAGGGAAAGCACAGCTGACTTCGCAGGACTGTTCTGGGGCGCCTGGCCCATAAGGTACATAAGCCACCATGATTACATTAATCACACGAGCACAATAGGACATTTCTAAACACCAGCAGCCAACACCGAGCATCTGTTGGCAGACCGTTCTAGACGCTCCGTGGCTGTGACGTCGGCGAACATTATAACAAGAGAATGACTGGAGCAGCGTCGCCAGCCACACGGGGAAACCGAGGCAGGGCGCGAGGGCGTCTCTTGCCCTGGGTCACGGGCAGTCGGGGACAGCGCGGAGTCGAGCCCAGGTGGTCTGGCTCCGGCATCTCCACATCCTCTAGGCTGTGTTGCAAACACAGCAGGAACGAGCGTTTTTGGTTTTTTTGTTTTTCAAGAACATTAGAGGTTTCTAGAACTCAGAGGTTTTACAGAGCGGATGCCAGCACCAATTGACAGGACATCTGAAGGTCCTTTGGGCAGTCGGGTCACCAGGACTGGCACCAGCGTGCTGGTCCTGGTCAAATGACAAAACAGACGGGCGAACTGCCCCCTCCCCAGTGGGCGCGAGTCTGTGATCCCAGCGCCCAGGTGGAGACTGACAGAGGTTCCAGTCAAATGAACGAGCGCTCTGGCCACCCAAATCTCTCCCCTGCTCAACGGGCGCCGAGTGACCCGTTCCAGGAGTTCCCCAGCAGAGCCTGCGGACAGGAGACCCACGTGTGACCCCAGGCCCAGGGCCGCACGCGGGCTTCCTGGAAAAGCAGGCCTGACACTGATGACGTGCCACCTCCTAAAGTGACTTCCGTTCTCCATCGGACATAAGCCTTCCACGACCTCCCGACCTGACTCGAGGGTCGGGCAGGGTTTATTAATAGGGAGGGCATCTCAGAGCACCCCACGAGGCCGCCCCCAAAGTGGTGATTCTACCGGGCCCACCACCGCCTGGAAAACGCGCCCGCTCGCGCCTGCTCGCTTCTGCAGGGCTCGGGACTCTGTGTGCTGAGTGGGTGGCACTGGGTGCCTCTACTGTCACCTCACACCACGAGACATGCCGGGAATTTCCTCCTCGAGTCCCAGAGTGGTCCAGAGCACAGAGGGGGCTCGAAAGTGGGGGTGGGCCTCAGAGAGCAATCTGGGAATTACGGGGTACGGGTGTGCATGCTCGTGTGCGTGTGTGAGCGCGGGTATGCGTGCCCGTGTACCTGATCAGCGGTTTGAAGACGTTCCACAGGACTTTGATGAAGCTGGTGGGGTGCACGACGTAGAGGGCCTTCAGGTTCTTCTTGTACCTGGGAGAGAAGGCAAGGTGACTTCAGAGCACGAGATGCGGCCACACGCCCCGCATCGAAGGACCGCCTCGGCCGCGGGCCTCAGAACCTTCGCCGGAGCCGATTAAAGGGCACAGAACCAAACTTAGAAAGGGTTCGAACTCAGGAAAACCAGGACCCCCGCCCACCGCCGCCCCCAGGCGTGCACACGGCACTTTACGGTTTGCGAGACTGGAGCCCCCACTCACTCTGGGGCTGGGGGCAGGGGACGCGTACTGGGGGGCAATGTGGCAACAGCTCTCGAAACGTAAACTTCACAGACACCTTCACCCCCCCTCTCTGCTAGGAATTGATCTGGGGTGAACAGGCAGCTCACGGTCTGCTCACAGCAGGCTGTGGGGTGGGCCATAGGGCGCCAACAGTGGGGTGCTAGGCACCCACTTAAAAACAAGGTGCCTCTTCGCTTGCCTCCCTCCCTCCTTCCCGAATAATTCAGTCTGAAGACATCAGGCTGAACGGAGGCAGCTGGCATCCACCCAGGGTGGGGACAGAGGCAGCTGGGCACGTTGGGGCAGAGAGGGCCAGCGGGGTGGCCGTGGGGCCGGCGTCACGCCAGGCCCAGCTTGCCACCTGCTTCTGCACTGCCCGCAAGCTCAGAAGGGCTTTCATTTTCATAGGGTTGAAAAAAGTTAAAATAATAGTTCACAGCACGGCGTGTGAAAACGGTCTGCGGTTCGCACATCAGCGTCCAGAAATGCTCTTCTACGAGAACACGGTTCCGCCTGTTCCTTTGTGTGTGGTCAGCAGCTGGGCAGGTGTGACAAAAACCTAACTGGAGTCCTGACCGTCAGGCCCTGTGAGAACGCGTGCGTCCACCCTGCCCTCCTGACAACGCTGGACAGAGCTCCTGGCCCCGAAAGAAGGTGACCCCACTTACTGCAGGCTCGGTCACTCGACCGCCGGGCTCGGCCCCTGGTATCCTGCCCTTGCCCACTGCACTGCCGTGACCCCTTGTGTCTCAGCCCACCCCTCAGTCCCGGGGTCCACTCGAGGACGGGAGGGCTGGCGGGCACGCACTTCCTGTCGAACTCCTGGTAGGCGTCCTGGAGCCAGCGTAGGGACGGCTTGTTCTGGCTGCTCAGGCCGCAGTGGAAGTAGACGATGATGTAGTCGTTTGCCACGTGCTGGTCCAGCGTGTACTTCAGGTACCTGGGGACGAAGCGCAGACTCGGGTTCGGAAGCCGCCCCCGCACAGCTGGCAAACCCAGCGGCTTCCCCCACAGCGGAAGTCGGGGTCGCCGGGCTGCATGGAGGCCCCGCCCGTCCGGGGGCCTGGTCCCCGTCTGTCAGACGACCCCTGAGACTCAGGGACATTGTTCGTCACTTACACAAGGTCACATGGCTGGTGAGTGGGTGCGGTAGGCTGGGCGTCGCCCCCAAAAGACACCCACGTCAAGCCCCTGGGACCTGCCTGGACAAGGGCCTCGGCAGGTGTGATTAAGTGAAGGGTCCTGGGAAGAGGAGCTTAATCTGGATCATCCACGTGGGCTCTACACGCAACGGCACGGCAGGCGTGAAGCGTGAACGGCATGGCGGGAACACGGCCGCTGTGGGGACGGAGGCAGCGCGCAGGGGACGCGGCCCAGCCCAGGAGGTAAAGGGTGATTGACAGAAGCCAGAGAAGGCCAGGAAGGGCCCTCCCGGAGCAGCCCCGCCCACAGCCCGGGCTCAGACTCCACCGCAGGACGTAAGGGCGAGAGGATCCATCCCTGTGGTTTTACGCCGTCTGGTCTTCAGCGATTTGCTGGAACGGCCACCGGGGACGAACGCAGAGGACGAGCCGGGATTTAAACCCAGGACACCCCGACTGGGACACCTGCGCGTTTCCAGAAGCAATTATTTCTTTCTGGATCAGCTCCTAACGGTTTTTGGTGTTAGAGCAGGATCTCGACTCGGCTCTCCGTCTGTCATTTGGCCTCGTCCACAGTCCAGGCTCTACAAGTCTCCATGGTCACGTCTACGGGTGGCACAGGCCTTGGTCCTCCCCTGGACCTGCCAGAAAAGGCCTCGTCCGGCCGTCTGCAGGATGAGCTGCACGAGGACTGTCCCAAACCCCAGCATCGTTTGGGCTGCGGCTCCCAACACAGCGCTCGACAGGTTGCCGTGTCGTTACCCAGAAGCACGTCTGCAGAGCAGGCCCGCCTGGCACGGCCCCGGGAGGTCAGGCCGGTCTCTCCGAGGCCGTGGCTGGGAGTCACTTGCTCTCACTGTGTGCCGGACAAACATAGCCGGTCGGGAGCTCTGGGGTCCAGGGGTGGACACACACCCCCAGAACCGCTGCAGGAGAACACGCCAGAGCCTCCGCCCTGTCTGCAAGCGCTCGGCTGGCCCCTCCTTGAGGCCACTCTGCAGTGCGACCTTCACCTTGTGCGAAAGGGTGTCAGCTTCTGCGCTGCTGGTTTGATTTCTCAGCAATGGCGGAGGGCCCTCTGCCCAGAGCGCTGACCACGGGGACTGCCAGCCTCAGACATTGCCCCTCACTCGGTCCTCCCAATGACCCAGACGGGTGCCGTTAAGCCATTTTACTGGAGTCAGCCAAGGCCGGCAGAGGAAAACCAGGTAGGGGCAGAACCAGGGTCCGAGCAGAGCTGTGTGGCCCCAGCGTCCACTCTCACCCACACGGCCCGACCCCAGAAAGCCACGTGCTCCCAACCACCGTCCACCTTGAAGTAGAAAAGTCACACGAAGCTGACCTCACGCGGCGGGCGATTTCGGCTCAGCAGCTGTGGAGGCGACTTCCACACCCAGACGCTCTCTGGCCCACGGTCTCACCACCCTCTGCACCGAGCTGTCGGGGGCGAAACTCGCCAAGTCCACCCTGCACCGCGGGGCCCGCCAGACCGCCCCCAGACGAAGCTGCCCGGTTTCACGCAGAGTCCCCGGCCGCCGAGGACCCCCCATCACTTCCGGGACGATGGCCCCTTTTGCCTTTGTCGACTCTTTTTCAAGACAAAGGAAACCGGGGGATGTCTTTGTCCGGCTCGCTGCCCACAGTGGCCACTTCCCGTAGAGGCGGCCGCCCTGCCCCGGCCCAGCGTGCCCCCGGCTCTTCCCGTGGAGCTTGCTGGGTTCTTCTCCGTGTCTGAGCACGTGTGCCATGCGCGCTCAGCTTAGGAAGTCAGAAACCAAATCGCTGTTTGAGCTGCAAAGATGTGGACTTTCTTCTTCATCCGTTTCAAAAACAGCAAACACCTGGCCACAGGAAAGCCACCGTTTGGAGGTGGACGGGGAAGGCGATGCTCCTGGAGTTGATTTCTGCTGAAAGGTCGTGGAAAAGCTAAGGCTCAGGGCTCCTCCCCGTGAAGTCGAGAAGCCCACAGGGCCCCTTCGTCTAAATCGGGAAAAGATGCTCCCTCCTCCAGGCGGCCGCCTCGCCTGATGCCCTTGTGCAGTGAACAACCTGAGCGACTGTTCGCCGAGGCCGTGCTTACACCTCCGTGTCTGCCAGGGCAGGCTTCTCGGGCGGGTGCAGGGAAGGGCACGAAGTTCCGACGTTGTCACAGGTACTTCTTGGTGAAATTCATCACAGCACGTGACCCGCCTGAAGGCGAGCGACCTCGTCCTCTGTGGCATTTAGCGCATTCACGATGTGGTGCGACCACGGCCTCCAGCCAGTTTCGAAACAGTCTCGCCGCCCCGGGAGAAAGCGGCCGCCAGCCTGCTGTCTGTCTGTCTGTCTGCCGGGCATGCTTCTGCCTTTGCAAGAAAACGAATCCTGAACATAGCCCTGGCCCGGCAGTGGCACCTTCCGTGAGGGCTGACCCCTAAGTCATGGATTATTTGATGCCACAAAAGGAACAGATTGACCAGAGTGTGATAAGTCCTTGCCCTGAACTGGACGTCCCTCTCTGCCTGGGTCTCCATTGGCGCTGAGCCCGGGCTGCAGAGAGCCTCGGCTCCCTCAGGAAGGCCAGCTCGCCACCCGGGGTCACCTGCCCCCGGGATCCTGGCTCGCCTGGTGAATTCCATGGAGACCCCGCCATGTGGCAGCAGAACCAGCTGAAGCGTCTCCCGAGCAGCCACGGCCAGCAAGGTTCCCGCCGTCAGCACGGTGTCTTCAGCGCAGGTGGCGGTTCTCTAAGGGACCAGATCGGATGCTCGGGTCAGACTGGCCCAAAGGCTTCCGGGTGCTTCTATGACCACGCCTTTGTCCATTTCAGGGCGGGGCCTGAGGCCGCGGCCGCTCTGCACGGTGCGGTGAGTGGGAGGCTGGCTGGCCTTATCGGACCTTGGCGGCGTCCGAGCTGTCCCCGGCAGTGAGCAAGGCCACCCAGGCAGCCGGCATGCCTCTCCGGCCCTCACAGGGGCAGGAGAACGTTTCCAGGGACGCCTAGAGGTGGGCTGGGGTTTGGCCATGGGAAGTAAAGCAGAACCAGCACGTTGTCACGGAGCAGAGGCCAAGGCACGGAACACCCACGTGAGCCCCGCGGGTGCAGGAAACGCCCCGAACGTGGGGTTCACGGTAAGTCACACCGGCCCCTCGGCCACCGCAGGTCACGGGGCGGGGACTCAGCTCCCGGCGTGACCTGCTGGACAGGAGGACACTTGGCTTGAAACCGCAGCCACGACGGCCTGCAGAGCAGGAGCTGCCCTTAGAACGTGGCTTCCTCTACCCAGACGGAGCTTGTCACCGTCCACGGTCACCTGCTCGCCTGGGCAGTGATTCTGGGCAGAGCTGCACTGGCACTTTGCCAACTCCCAGCTCCATCCCTGGGGGCAGCGTGGCTGTCACACAGAGCATGTAGATGCTGATGGCAAGGGACGGGTGATGGTGGCCGAGGCCACTCGCAGGTAAGTGGGAGGCGCTCCCCTCTGAGCAGCAGGAACCTGAGTGAATGCAGAGGGCTCGGGGCTTCCTGAGGAGGGACACAGCACGACCTCAAAGGGCCCAAGGCCCAGGGCCCGAGCTCAGGCCTGGGGACCTGCCACCTCCCTGGGCTGAAGGCAACTGGCATCGTCTGGGGACCTGCGAGTCAATCTGCATATGTTAGCCTTTGACCTGGAACATCCCCTCTGTGCTGAGTGATGTGCACGGGGGGTGGGGGGCGGGGTACAGAGCAGGGGAGGGGTGTGTGTACAGGGCGGGGTGTGCGAAGGGCGGGACTTACTCCAGCAGACGCCTGTGGTTGAGCTCGTGGGAGGGGGGCATCCGGCAACAGCTATACGTGATGACGCGTCTCCCGAGGTGGTCCTTCCCTGGAGGAAGACACAGGTGTGAGTCCCTCATGACCCAGGCCACCCTGTGGCCGTCTCGGCACATCTGTGCCCGCCCCACAGGGGACAGTGTGGGGCAGGTAGTCCTGGAGGGCCGGCCCCCGGTCTAACCGCCTGTGCCCAAGAACCCGGGGTAGCTGCTCATGCCTGAGGCTCCAATTATGTCCGATAATCATTTATCAATGGACTGAAGGATTGATTAAAGGTTATCAGGAACCGGAAGAGAATAAGGCCACGCTTCTAGAAATGCACGTGACTGTAAACTCGTGTTCGCTGTAAAGCAGCATTCGCATCTGCTTTCAGACGTTCCCTGCAAGTGAGAAAGGGTGACAGCTAAGCGTTCTCACCCCTCCGGTTCTCAGAGGTAATGAGGATCACACACACGCAGGCACACACTCGCGCGTACACACACACGTGTGCACACGCGTATGCATAGAGCATCATTGTTTGTGCTCTGCTGTCCCTGCTCGGCTGCCCATACAGGACACCTGCTTGTCATTCAGGACACATGGGTTCTTCCCAGGAGCCTGAAGCCCGGCTGACGGGCTCGGGATTCCTGAGCTGTCGTTTCTGAAAGCAGCAGCCCCCCCACTCCACGGGACCCCCGGGGTACTCTGCTCCCGCTTTCCTGTCTCTGTACGAAGCCCGTTGGAAGGGTTGCTCTGAAATCCACGCTTTCATGAGCTTCCCTTGTCAAATGTGGGGGTTGGGGGACACAGAACCTTTGCTGGCTGTGCCTGGGAGTACGAAGTGTCCAATGAGAATCTAACGCCTGAGGATCTGAGGCGGAGCCGAGGCGGTGATGCTGGAGCTGGGGAGCGGCTGCGGATACAGGTGAAGCTTCGCTCGCCCGCCCACCGCTCACCTCCTGCTGTGTGACCCGGTTCCTAACAGGCCACAGACTGGTACTGATCCACGGCCTGGGGGTTGGGGACGCCTGCACTAAATTACGTGGGAAAGGGAAGATCAGGTCAACAAGTGTTTGCTGAGGGCCCACTGCGCGCTCAGCTCAGGAAAGGCCAGGCACAGCCCCGCCTGGCCCCACAGCCCGTGGAAAAGACAGTGATGTGGGGGAGGTGGGGTCTCCCCCAGCCCCACAAGCACTTCTCTGAGAAACGGTGGGGGGCCCTCAGCAGGGGCCCCTGGCAGCCACACCTATATCTGCAATGACTTCTACCCGAGGTCGGGCCACATGTCACAGGGGCCACATGTCACAAGTGAAGGGCATCGTCTTCCACAGGACGGCCCTCAGTTCAGGCACCAGCTACAAGACAGGGGTCCCCAGGCCACCCCACTTCTGAGCAGCTGGTATAAATTCAGAGGCTCCTGCTACCCCCTCGTGATGGAGAATTCACTAGAATAACTCACAGAACTTACGAATACAGTTTATTATAAAGAGTAAATCAGGACAAACCAAGGGGGACAGTGCACAGGGGGAGGTGTGGGGGTCCTGGCCATGAAGTCTCCATGCCCTGTCCCCAGCGAGGCAGGAACACTGACGTGTCACCACCACCCACGGTGGCTCAATGTGCCCAGGAGTCCACAGTTGTTACAGGAGGTTTCACTGTGTAGGTGTGACTGAATCACGAGTCAATCGTCAATCCAGAAGTATCGGTGATTAAATCATTGGCAGCTGACTGAACTCGGTCTCCAGCCCCCAGGGGGTCACGAGTCCCATCCCTCTATGGCTGGTCTTCCAGGCACAGCAGCCGGGTCCCCCGCTCGGCACCTCTTTAGCATGAGCCATCATGAGTCACAGCTACTCCCATCACCGGGAAAATTCCAAGGACTCAGAGGCTGCCTCCCAGGGACCACAGTGTCCCAGACCCCGCACCCAGCCCACGGCCAGCTGTGCTGGACGGGTGGACACGGGGCTATAGGGGGCCCCACCCATCAGGCCAGACACAGGGCTGACCTCCAGAGAGAAGGGATGATGCAGGAACTGGGGCCACGGGCCAGGCCTCGCTGAGGGCAGAGCACCTGCTCCCTGGTCGGCCGAGGAGCAGCCTGGGGTCTGGGCAGAGCAGCGGTGAGTCTGACGCAGACACGCCATCCCCGAATGGGGGTGCTGGTGGGAAGGAGGGTCGAGGCCACTGGGACACGAGGGCTGAGGCCTGACTTCGGCCCGCTGACACTGATGAGGAGGGCAAGGGTCACGACCCGATGGGTCAGGTGAGGCCCCGCCCTGGGGCAGGCTCCGTCCCAGCTGAGACGAGGCAGAAAGTGGAGCATCCAGGCTTCACAAGGGTGAGAGCCGGTCAGGAACAGAGCAGCTCAGTGCCTGACGGACACAGGGAACCCGGAGCGGTGTGGGGGACACGGGGAACCCAGGGAGCAGCGTGGGGGACACGGGGAACCCAGGGAGCAGCGTGGGGGACACGGGGAACCCAGGGAGCAGCGTGGGGGACACGGGGAACCCAGGGAGCAGCGTGGGGGACACGGGGAACCCAGGGAGCAGCGTGGGGGACACGGGGAACCCAGGGAGCAGCGTGGGGGACACGGGGAACCCAGGGAGCAGCGTGGGGGACACGGGGAACCCAGGGAGCAGCGTGGGGGACACGGGGAACCCAGGGAGCAGCGTGGGGGACACGGGGAACCCAGGGAGCAGCGTGGGGGACACGGGGAACCCAGGGAGCAGCGTGGGGGACACGGGGAACCCAGGGAGCAGCGTGGGGGACACGGGGAACCCAGGGAGCAGCGTGGGGGACACGGGGAACCCAGGGAGCAGCGTGGGGGACACGGGGAACCCAGGGAGCAGCGTGGGGGACACGGGGAACCCAGGGAGCAGCGTGGGGGACACGGGGAACCCAGGGAGCAGCGTGGGGGACACGGGGAACCCAGGGAGCAGCGTGGGGGACACGGGGAACCCAGGGAGCAGCGTGGGGGACACGGGGAACCCAGGGAGCAGCGTGGGGGACACGGGGAACCCAGGGAGCAGCGTGGGGGACACGGGGAACCCAGGGAGCAGCGTGGGGGACACGGGGAACCCAGGGAGCAGCGTGGGGGACACGGGGAACCCAGGGAGCAGCGTGGGGGACACGGGGAACCCAGGGAGCAGCGTGGGGGACACGGGGAACCCAGGGAGCAGCGTGGGGGACACGGGGAACCCAGGGAGCAGCGTGGGGGACACGGGGAACCCAGGGAGCAGCGTGGGGGACACGGGGAACCCAGGGAGCAGCGTGGGGGACACGGGGAACCCAGGGAGCAGCGTGGGGGACACGGGGAACCCAGGGAGCAGCGTGGGGGACACGGGGAACCCAGGGAGCAGCGTGGGGGACACGGGGAACCCGGAGCGGCGTGGGGGGACACGGGAACTCAGGGAGCAGCGTGGGGGACACGGGGAACCCAGGGAGCAGCGTGGGGGACACGGGGAACTCAGAGCAGCGTGGGGGACACGGGGAACCCAGGGAGCAGCGTGGGGGACACGGGGAACTCGGAGCAGTGTGAGGGAGCTTCCCAGAGGAGGGGGGACAGGTGTGGGCACTGGAATGCTGGCCGAGTGGAGGACAGCAAGGCCACCCCAGGGCCAAGGGTGAGCAGCAGGAAACTTCCAGTGAGAAGCCTGACACCAGACTCCCGGAAAACCCCGGGAACTTGGAATCCAAGAACGAGAACCCGCCTGGCACTGCCCGGACGCAGTAGGTCTTCAGCAGATGCCGGCGGCCGCCTCGTGCACACAGGCCCCGCTTCCCTCCCGACCTGGTTTCCTGGTTTGCCCGTGGCGGGTGGGGGGCGCACGGCCTGTCAATGCCCCTCAGACCTACTGCTGATGCGGGGGCCCTGACCTGGCCGGGAGAGGGGCGGAGCCACGGCAGCTCTGGTCAGCGGGGCCCAGAGTGGAGACAGTGGCAAAAAGGCAGGTAAGAGTCAGAACGATGACTCCCGCCTGACAAGTCTTTCAGCCAGCAGCAGGGTACGAGGGGCACCGGCCAGGCCGCGAGCCCTGCACCCCGCCGTCTGCACACGTGAGCACAGCACGTGCAAAGGCACGGAGGCAGCTTTGCGGAGCTGGGATGGAGCCCAGCGCCCCATCAGGCCAAGTTCCTTCTCCCCACAAGCATCCTGCCTGTATACAGCACTGATTCATTCACTCATTCGTTCATTAGCACTACTGAGCACCCACTGTTTGCAGGGGCCATGGACTAGCGTGACGCTGAGCCGTGAAGATGAGCTACTTCCCAAGGCGTTTTACTCCCCCTGCTCCCCCAAAATCACAAGGGCAACGAACTTGGCATTTTCTTTCCATGTCCAGCCAAACCACCACCACGGCAGTCGTCAGATTCAACTTAACCGAAATACAAAATTCTTTTTAAGTGCACAAGGGACGTTCACCAAGAAAGATCAAACCTTTCAGGTCGCAGAACCTGTCCCTACTCTTAAAAATTATTGAGGACCTCTAAGGTCTTAAAAAAAAATAGGTTATTTCTATAAAAAACATACCATATTAGAAAACTAAACCAGGAAACTTTTAAGTATTTATTCGTTGATTTTAAAAGAATAAAGACCCATTACATGTTAACATAAATAACGGGTTTTTTACCTTCTGAAAAGGAACTACATTTCCTGCCTTCCTCTTGCGAGCACCTGACCTGTGAGTCCACGGCCCCCACAGCCAGTCCAGCATCCATCCCTTCTGCCTAAACGCTAACGGTTTTCTAAAAAGGACACTGAGGGCTTGAAATGTCCGGCTGCCCGTCGAAACCCCATCCTCTCCATGCTCGTCACGCCCTGAGCAGCCGAAATGTCTACCACGGGTGTGTCTGGGGCCTCCAACTACGCAGAACTGTTCCTTTCTGCTCATCAAGACCCAGCTCCTTGGGGACAGGGGCTAACAGTGACGAAGCTTGGCACAGGGGGCAGAGAAGTGGGCGTGTTAAGGTGACTGCCTGTGGTGGCTAATTCCACGTGTCAGCTTGACGGGGCTCAGGGATGCCCAGATGGCTGGGAAACGTTATTTCTGGGTGTGCCGGTGAGGCTGTCTCCGAAGAGACCAACGTTTGGCAGGCTGAGTAAAGAGGACCGTCCTCGTCACTGCGGCGGCCCCGCCCAACCCTCCGAGGGCCCGAAGACAGCAAAAGGTGGTGAAGGGCGAGCTTGCTCTTTGCTGGAGCTGGGACGCCCGTCCTCTCCTGCCCTCGGACGCTTGGGGACATCAGCGTCCCCAGTTTTCAGGCGTTTAGACTCCAGCTTGCAGGTGGCGGGTCATGGGACTGCTCAGCCTCCCTAACTGTGTCAGCCGATTCTTATTACGTAGCTCCTCTCATGTGTAACCTAGTGGTTCTATTTCTCTGAAGAGCCCCAAGACCCTGCCCACGTGAGAAACACACCCCAGTTGGCCCAACCCCTCAGGCCACAAAGGCCTAACTAGAGTAATGCCCGATTTCTGTCTGACCACCCGCTGGGCGTGGGGCGGCTCATCTTCTAAGTTTTGGCAGACATTTGTTGTTTCTGTTGACATGTGGCAGAGCATAACAGTGTCGCTGGTTATTAAAGCGATCCACTTGACCTTGGCCTCTGCTCTGTAAAGACTGGCAGGATGCTGCCCGGTGGCTTCTCAAAGCACTTGGGCAATGGTCTGACAGGTACATCGTTTGCTTTTTCAAAACACTGGCAGGCACCTTTGTTCCTAGGGTCATTTCTATTCTGTAGGCACGGCCACACTGGAGTGAAGGAGCCCCGAGGAGCCCTCCCACAGGAAAGCTGGCACGGTCAGTGTTCCTGGGGACCCCTCCAACTGGGACCCACCTGCCACCTGCAGGATGCCATGTCTGGCCACGTCGTAGAAGGGGTGATTCATGCTCAGCGCAGGGTCCTGGCCAGCCGTGGGCACCGCGGAGGGTCTCCTCACTGCATCCAGTGCGGCTGCCCCCTCCTCATCTCTCTGTAGCTCTAGGGCAGACAGTGAGGATTAGAGAAAGCCGGCTGCACTCTCCAGGGAGGAGGAGAGTGAGGGGGCCTCCTGAGGCCTTTTCATAGGACAGTCACCATTTAGCAGATGTGCACCCACTATGCACCCACTCAGTGTGCATCTACTACGTACTCTTCTCCTTGCACCCACTTGACACCCACCTCTGCTGTGTACCCACTGTGTACTACTCAGTGTACACCCACTAAGCTCCCACCTCTGCTGTGCGTTCACTATGCGTCCGCTTCTGCTGTGCACCCACTATGCACCCACCTCTGCTGTGCACCCACGATGTACCTGCTCGGTGTGCACCCACTATACACCTGCCTCTCCTGTATACCTACTATGTGCCTACCTCTCCTGTGCACCCACTATGCACCCATTCGGTGGGCAGCACCGTGGAAGCAGCACAATGAGACCCGAGGGCAGGATATTGCTCTCCACACCGACAGGAGTAAAAGCCGAGGCTCGGAGAGGCGGAATAACTTCCCCAAGGTCGCCCTGCTAACTGAGAGCGCGGGTAAGCGAACTCGACTTCCCAGCTCCAAATTCTGACTCAGGCCCTTTCTGAAAGATGCTGACCCTGGCAGCTGGCAGGAAGCCACGGAGGGGCCGAGGGCAGACACTTGGGTCGCCGCAGTACGAGGCAGGAAGAAAGCGCCATCTTCCGAAGCTGGATTTTAGCAGGTGGTTCCCTCATACGGAACAAAGCAGGGTTCCGTCAGAAATGTCTGCAGCTAGAAAAAGAACGGGAGCTTTGGATTCCAGGCTGGGGCAGACTTTGGTCCCCAGCTGTCCCTCTGAATCTCACGCCGACCCGGAACCTCACGATGTGACCTTGTTTGGGAAGCGTCTTTAGAGATGAAATTAGTTAAACTGCGGTCACGCTGGACGAGGATGGGCCTGACCCCAATGACAGGTGTCTTTGTAAGGACAGGACACCGAGGGACTCCAGGGGAGGAAAACATGTACCTATTTCAGCCAACTCCTCCAAGTCCAGCCGGGACATGCTCTGCTGGTGGGCAGGTGGCCCAGGCACACTGTCACGATGCCACCTCTTGGGGATCCAGGCACGGGTCCTTCCAACGCCCTGAGGGAGAAGCACACGGAACCCGAGGGGCACTTCGCACGCGTCCCCTGGACAGGGCTCCCTCTCGCCAGCCAGCCCCGTGACCTGGGAGAGCAGGGCACGGAGCAGTGCGGCTGGGCACACCTGGAGTGGGGACGGCACTCCCAGGACCCCGTCATGCCCGCTTCACCACCCCCTCAGAGACATGCACACTTACTCCTGGACCCGTTTTACGGATGAGAAATAGGGGTCTGCAAAGATCATTTAGAACTGACGATGGCTACACCGCACGTCATCATAATTACAGCGAAGGGCCATCGAACCATTATTCTGGGCCCGGGACGCTGCTTCGACACCTGCGTAAATCTACAAACACCCCTGTGTACCCACACGATGGTATGGCACACAACCATAGAAAGGAATAAAGCGCGGACACATGCTACAAAGTGGCCGAACCTTGAAATTATTACGCTAAGCGAAAGCAGCCAGACACGAGAGGCTACATGCTCTCGGATTCCGTTCATGTGCAAAGGCCAGAGACGGGCAGCTCCCTAGAGAGGAAGCAGTTACTGGCCGCCAGAGGCTCTAGGGAGGAGGGACCAGGGAGGCGACAGCCAAATAGCACAGGTTCTTTTTTTTCGGGTGACAAAAATGTCCTAAAATTCACTAGGGTGGTGGTCGTACATATCTGTGATACACTAAAAACCAATGAACTGTACGTTTTAAATGGGTGAATCGTACGTTATGCGAGTTACATCTCAATAAAGGTGTTTTAAAAACTTAACAAAGCAGGCTGAAAACAGCACCTAGAGTTCTGTCCAGTTTTTCAGTAGCGAAAATAAATGTGCAACGTTATTTTAAAATGCTATTTTCCGAGTTCTGGGATTAGGGCTTGCAAACCCATTTATTTTTCCATGTTTGTCCTCTGTTCATTTTTGAAAAATCTTGTATTGCTCTTAATATAAAACGGTTCTATAAACTAAAAAAGTATGACTAATAGTGTGAGAACATTTGATGCACATGAGAAATTGCAATGCCTCGCCTTCTTTTTCTTCAGAGAGAGTTCCCTGTTAGCTCAGGCGGTGGCGGGAGCCACTTGCCCAGACACACAGCCCGTTGGGGGCAGCGCCGTAGGACTGCGAAGCTGTTACCCGGGACACCGGCCAGGGAGCCAGGGCGGGCCCCGGGGCTGGCCGCATCCTGTTGCGGGTCAGGGTGCTGTTACGTGTGTTCCGCCTTGTGAAAATCCAGTGAGTTTTGGTGGGTTCTGGTTTTGTCTGGCAGTCGGCGGGGAGAGACTGCTGGGAAATGACGATGACATTAAAAGAAAGGCTTCGAGGAGGTCCCCGGGGGCAGGTGGGGGGCAAGAGCGACAGACCAGTACGGCTGGAACTCAGACGGCCACGGGCGGGCCGATGACAGCAGGCCGGCTGCGCAGTCAGGGCGGGGGGCGCCCAGGTGGCTGCGCAGTCGGGGGCGCCCAGGTGGCTGCACAGTCAGGGGGTGCCCAGGTTCACATCTTCAAAAGGCCTCAGGCTGAGAGAGGGGCCCTAACACTAACCGGTCAGCCCGAGGGAGGCCGTTAACCTCTATGGAGACGTCTAGGAGCTGACAGAGGGCGAGGAGCTCGCTTGAGGCCACGCGTGGGGAGGGGAGGCACCGCCTTCCCGGCCCCGGCTGCCCACGCCGTGCCCAGCAGGACGACGCCATAGACTTAGACGATGGCCAGAGCCCAGGCCTGCAGCCCCGCAGGGAGGGGCTCTTGGCTGGACAGAGTGGACAGTTGTCCTCTTGGCCCTCAGCATCCCCTCCTCCTCTGCCACTAAGTCACCGACTTTCTCTCACACACGCACACATGTGCATGCGTTCTGTCCTTCACATGCACGCACACACATGCACACACGCTCTCTCACACACACGCACATGCACACACATGCTCCCCTCGCATGCATGCTCACGTACAATGCACATGTGCACACGCATGCACACATGCTCATCCTCACACATATGCACATGCACAATGCACACACAAAATGCACACATGCTCCCCCTCACATGCATGCACACGTACAATGCACACGTGTGCACACACACGCACACATGCTCATCCTCACACATATGCACATGCACAATGCACACACACATGCTCTCTCTCACACTCATACACACAGTGCTCCTTCACACACATGCACACGTGCTCCCTCATACACATGCAGCTCTCCACACACGTGCACATGCACACACAATGCGCACATGCTCTCCCTTACACACATGCACACACACTCTTCATCACACGCATGCACAAGCACACACATGTATCTCTCCTGCACATGCATGCATGCACACGTGCTCTCCCTCACACATGTATACATGTGCACGTGCATGCACATGCTCCCCTCACACACACGCACAATGCTCTCTCTCACATGCATGCACACACATATACACATGCTCTCCCTCACATGTGTGCACATGCACACACACAATGCACACATGCTCTCCCTTACACACATGCACACACACATGCACACACACTCTTCATCACACACATACACAAGCACACATGTATCTCTCCTGCACATGCATACATGCACACATGCTCTCCCTCACATGCGTGCACATGCACACATGCAAGTGCGCAGCCCGTGCAACGTTGGGTGACGCTCCACTCCAGGCGCCAAGGATGGGACGCAGGACCTTCTTTGCGCCTAGTCACAGCACCAAAGTCCCTGAGTCAGAGATCAGTTGACCACAGGACCGCAACTGGTCCAATAAGAGTGAATTCTAAGACTTCTAGAAAAACTACTGAGAAGAGATACTTTTTAAATTTCTTTTGCTGAACCAAATGTGAGAGGCTATGGGTCTGGAGCCACCAAAGGTCACCACATGGAACCAGAGAAAAATGACGCCAACGGCAGAAGACAGAGCAGGAGATGGGGGGAAAGTCCCTAAAAGCCTGTGCACCTGGATCCAGCTGGACCTGAATGCGAAGGACGATAAATCCTCTCCTCTGCTTACGTCAGCTTGGGTTAGAGATGCTCTGTTGCTTCCGACAGAATGAGTGCTGATATTTTTCCTTTGAAGAGTGATCTTTGCTGGCAAGCAATGGGACTTTGTCTGACTATAACATTCAAAGGGTCCACATTCATCATCGACTGACCTCAACCCTCCAGCCGCACACGGTCCTGGACCTCTCCATGCCACAGGACGCAGTTAGAAGAGGCCACTCCGACAACACTAATTCGGCAGGGCCCCCAAGGACATCGCTTCCCTCGGTCTAAGCTTCTGTGCGGGGCACATAACCCACTCTCCAGCACCCGGTCTGCTGCACGTTGCCGTGAATCGATGTCTCCCAGACTGCCCCACACTCCATGGCTCATTCCTAAAGGGCACTACGGCACCATGACAACATCGAAGGACTTAATTTAAGGAGCGGGGAGTCTCCCGTAGCCCTGGGTACAATTTTTATTTCTGCCCATTCCTCTCCACGCTTTTTCCACATGCACCCATATTTTATAAAGTCATAATCAGATTGCACGTACTGGTCATAATCAATTGTGTGTGAGCATGAGTGTGCGTGTGTGTGCACACACACACCATCAACCCAAAGCACCCCGCACCCCAGAACATTCAGCCCAACGCCCAGAAAATACCCCTCAGGGATCAAAGGACATGAGAAATGACACCACAGGGCATGTGTGTGGGGAGGCGTATCAGACAAATCTAGAATGAGACATTCTACAAGACCACTGGCCTGGCCTCTTTAAAAGTTGATGTTATTTTAAAAAGAGAGAGTAAAGGAGAGAAAAATAAAACAGAGAGAGAAAGAGGGAGGGAGGGGGAGAGAGCAGGGGAGAGGTGGGGGACACCGTTCTAGACTGTGACACGTGAGTCTCGATGAAATTCTGCTTTGTACAGGAGTGGGGAGGGCATTACCAGGACCACTGGACGACGTGAATGTGACCTGAATGGCTGATATTAAAGGAGTTACCGTCGGTTTGCTTAGGTGTGAGCATGGTGTCGGGTCTCGGGGGAGAACATCTTTGTGTGCAGAAGACACACGCTAAGAGACTCGGCAGGAAACGCCAGGGCTCTGCCACTTACTCCCCACGCGGCTCCGCGAACAGACACAGAGAGACCGACAGGGAGACACAGCGAGACGGGAGAGAGAGAGAGAGAATCCTTAACCAGTGGGGCCAATTTCTGAATCACGGTAAGGAGGCTGCGTTCCCTCACGTTTCTGACACGTTTCCGTACTCTGAACTAGTGCATACAGTCAGTCGTGGAGGGGAGCGGGGAGGGGAACAGGCAGCGCCATCTCCCCAACTGTCAGAGCTCCGGACGGAGGCCAGGGACGCAGACACTGGCTGCAGGTCACACAGCCCCGGCCCCAAGACGCCTCCTGTCACCCCTCTCTCTCTCTGGTTTCTCCTACCTTGGCACAGGTGAACCTGGATTCTTGTGTTGCACTTCTGAGAGCTGCACATTCCCCGCACGCGCACACGCACACGCACACACGCTCTCCCTCACATGTGCGCACACACACACGCACACACACGCACACACACGCGCGCACACACGCGTGCCCTGCTCCTCTGCCTGCGGTTCTGGGCCATCACCTCCAGCAAGCGCCCTCACTGTGACACTCCAGATCAGTGCGGCCATGACCCACAGTTCACACTAGTGACTGGTCCTGCTGCCCACTGCCCTGAACCCCCACGCCCCGCTGGGCCTGTGTCCTGTGTTCTTCAGAGGTCACCTGACGCTGGAGGCAGATGAGGCGGAGGTTGACGGCCAACTGGCTGGGGCCGGGCACACACACGGGATCGCGTTTGCCCCTGGCAGGGTGCAGGGCACACCGTGCCAGGCGGGGGGCCCAGCCCGGCCCCACCTGGGCCCCACTGCTCATCTTCTCCACGTGGGGCGCCCACCACCTTCCAAATCCAGCCTTCCTCCAACTGGGGGCCAGCTCGCTGGGGACGACGCCCAGGCCTGGGACCCTGTTCCCACACCCGGCCGGG